AGCACTGTTCATATTATCTACTTCATTTTGCTTGCTCGAATTTGGTAGATTTTAATTTTCTTCTTGCCTCCAGGGATTTCAGACATCACGTTGGCACTCCCAGAAACAGAATCTTACCAGCCGTCCGGGCATCCTGTGGCCCAGTCAGGCTGACACAGAATTAAGCATCCAGCCATCAGGGCACTCTGATACTGGACATTTGTGTCTTCTCTCCTCTTAAGGTTGTCAGTCTTGCTAGGGGTTTATCAATCTTATTAATTCTTCTCAGAACCATTTTGTTTGTTTCATTGATTTCCTATTTTCAATTTCATTGATTTCTGCTCTTGACTTTATTATTTCCTTCTTTCTGCTTGTTTTGATTTTATTTTGCTCTTCTTTTCCTGTCATGAGGCAGGAATTTCAATGATTTTGAGGTCTTGCCTCCTTCTGATGTGCTATAAATATCCCTCTCAGCACTGCTTTAGCTGCAGACCACATACTTTGATGTTTTGTATTATTTTTATTTGGTTCAGTTCTGTGTTTTTAAAAAAGCTCCCCGAAGTACTTCCCCTTTGACCCATGGATCATTTACAAGAGTGTGGTCTTCTTCCCAGGATTTGGAGATTTTCCTGTTGTCTTGCTGTGATTTATTTTGTTGAAGTCCATTGTGGTCTGAATACAAACACTGTGATTTCAGTTATTTTAGACGTGTTGATGTTGGTTTTATGGTCCAAGGTTTGATCTCTCTTGGGGAATGTTCCCTACTTTGAACATAGGAGCACTCTGTCTTGCTGGGTGGACTACCCTGCGGGATGCTGTGGGTGGGCAGATGGCGTGGGTCTCCTACATCTGGGCTGGTTTTCCATCTAGTCGTCCTGTGGGTTGTCGAGGGGACAAAGTGAAGTCCTCAACCATACTTGCAGATATGTCAGTCTCTCCTCAGCTCTGCCAGCTTCAGCCTCGTGTATTTTGAGGCTCTAAGAGTTGGTGTGTGCACATTTAGGATTCTTATGTCTTCCTGGGGGACCAATCACTACCTCTAATGTGTCATCACAGAATGTCAGTCTGTCGCCACTTATTTCCTTTGCTCAAAAGTCTACTTTCTCAGATATTAACCCAGCCGCTCCTGCTTCTTCATTTTGTTGTTGTCTTGTGTTTGATTACTATTCATATTGTGTGTCTTCTCTTTCTCCCAGCACACCTACGTCATTGCATTTGAAGTGACTTTCTTATAAACAGCATATAGTTCAGTCTGCCTTTTTTGTCCACTCTGCCAGTCTTTGCCTCCTGATCTGTGAGTGTGCATTTTAACGTATTTAATGTAATTTGTATATTTAACCTATTTACGTTTATGTGTGTTAAGGCCAAAAGTCTGCCATTCTGTTATTTGTCTTCTGGTTTGCCTCTGTTTCTTGTTCTTTTGTTTCTCTCATCTTGCTTTCCTGTGGACAAGGAACACTTTTTTATAAAATTTTATTTATTTATTTGAGAGAGAACATGAGCAGGCTCCCCGCAGAGCAGGCTGACATGGGACTCAGTCCCAGGACACTGAGATCATGACCTGAGGTTAAGACAGATGCTTAACCGACCGAGCCATCCAGACACCCCACCTGTGGACTCTGAACATTTTAAAGGACTCTATTTTGACTTATATAGAGTGGTTTGGGGTGTGTCATCGTGTATTGTCTTCCTTTTTTTTTTTTTTTTTTTTTTTTAGCTTTTATTTATTTACTTGCCCCGGGGGGGGGGGGAGGGGAGAGCAAGCACAAGCAGGGGGAGCTGCAGAGGGAGGGGGGGAAGCAGGCTTCCCCCTGAGCAGGGAGCCCGATGCAGGACTCAATCCCAGGACTCTGGGACCATGACCTGAGCCAAAGGCAGACACCCAACCAACTGAGCCACCCAGGCGCCCCTTGTATGGTCTTCTTAGAGTTTGTTCTGGGTATTGAAACACACTCGCGTGCAGGTCCTCACAGTCGGCCGCCAGCAGTGTGTGCACTTCGGGTTACGTGCGCGCACTGCTTCCATGTTGGTCGCTGTGCCATCCCCGCTTTTAAGTATCCTCTCGAGGGTCAGCTGGTGTTAACATTTGTTTCTCTCGTCACACGTGCCACCGGGCACTCAGGAGGAGTGCCCACTGTTGCGCCCGTCTCTCTGCCCTTCCCATGCTCCTTCTTCCCTCCCAATGCCCCAAGAGGCCGCCCTTACGTCCGTCCTTGTGGAGAGACACGCTACACCCGGGCTTGCGGGGCGGTCTGCCGGGGCTGGAGCCTTCAGTGTCCCCTGGCTCAGAGTGCATTTCTCCTTCGTCCTTGTGTGTGTGCACGGGCGGCGTGGCTGAAGCGAGCGCCTTCCTTCTCGAATGATGCTTGCTTTCAACACTTGGAAAACATGGCACGGCTTCCTTCCGGCCGCTGGCTCTGGATCGGAAGTGCGCTGTGGTTGTCCTCAGCGTTCCTTTGCTCATGTGGGTCTCATGCTCGTCTCTCGGGCTGCTTCCGTGATTTCGTCCTTGGTGCTCAGAAGTTACAGCTCAAGTGGCCAGACGCAGATTTCCTTGGATGTATCGTATTTTAGATTTGCTCAGCTCCTTGAATCCAAGTCTCTGTCTTTTGCCTAATTTGGGGAGTTTCAGCCATCATTTCTTTGAATACTCTTTTCAACTGCTCGCCCCTGCCACTCTTCTTCTGGGACTCCGGTTATGTGAACAGTGGATCTTGTGTTGTTATCCCACAGGTTCCTGAGCCTCTGTTCAATTTTTTCCCCAATGTTTTGTTGTTGTTGTTGTTAATAGGTTGAGTACTTTCTGTGGACCCATCCTCAGCCTCACTGGGACATCCTCTGTCATTTCTGGCCACGGATAAGCCACTCAGCAAGTGTTTCCTTTCAGTGATTCTGTATCATATTGTGGTTTTGGTTTGCTTCTGTGTTATGTCTGTTTCTTTGCTGACATTTTCCATTTGCTACAAGATAAACTGTTATTCCTTATGGAACCTCTTCAATTACGACTGATTTAAAATCCTTGTCAGATAATTCCAGCATCTTCACCTCAGTTTGGGCATCAGTTGATTACTCTTTCTTATTCTAGTTGTGACTTTCCTGAATCTTGGGTTCTTCCTTGAGTTTCCTGGTATGACAGGTGATTTTTTTATTGTCTCCTGAACAGTCAGGCTATTATGTTCACATTTTGTATTTTAGCAGGTGGTTATCCTGTCTGGACTCAGCAGACAGATCCTGAGCTACTCTAGTGGCCTGTGGTTTCAGCGACAGTGGACCGTGCAGAGGTCCCTGCTGGGCCATCCTGGGCCTCTGGATGGGGGCAGGGTATCTGGCCCCTGGGAGGAGTACTTCCCCCCCACCCTTGGGGCCTCTCGGTGGGGCAGGGGGGCCGGTGAGCTGGGTGGGGCAGGGATGGGCCTCTCCTCGACCTTCCTGCCGGTTCTATCAGACACCCCCCCCCCACCCAGAGTCATCAGTGGGACTCCAGCCCCACATGGGGATGAATACGTCCACCTGGTCCTCTTCCTGGTGGCAGGCTGGGGGTCAGGAAACGTGGTCCTGGACCCCCTTATGTCGGGCTGCTCTGTTGTTCCTCCAGCCCTGGGGACCCTCCCCACGTCACCTCACTCTTTTCATGTGTGAGAGTTCTGTTTTGGTTGTCTCTGATCTCCTGCGTTTATTGGTAGTCGGGAAAAGCAAAGAGACAAGCCTAGGCCAGCCACCTCATCCAGACTAGAAGCCCCTCAGGGCATGCTGAAGAGCTTTTGGTTTCTGGAAAGTGTGTGCAGGCCAGATGGTGGGGGGTCGGCAGAGCAGTGGGAACTGTGAAGGACTCTGCTGCGGCCACGGCCACGGGCGAAGGGCCATGGGAGGAGGCAACTTAGAAGAGCCTGAGAGGTGAGAATGAAGGCGTGGGGGAAGGGGAGAACAGGAGGGTCCCCATCAGTGGGGTAGATGGACGGATCTCGCGCACTTCCAGCGACTGAGAGGGTGCAGGATGCAGGGCTCAGGCTGGGCGTGGCGGGGCTGGTGCCCAACGCGGGCAGGGAGCCAGGTCCGCGGTGCGTCCGGGACAGCGCCCGCAGGAGACAGGGTTGGGGAGATTCCCCGCACCCCCCACGACAATGATCGCTCTGATTCCCTGCCCCCGCCCAGCTCTGGGATGGCGACAATGGCCATCTGTCTCCCGGAGCCGGAGCCTGGCACCGGGCGGGTGCGAGCGCGGGAGGGCCCGGGTGGAAGCAAGGGCACGGCTCAGGGAGGCTCGGGAGGGCTTGCAGCCCTGAGGTGTGGCGGAGGCGGCCGCCGAGGCGGAGGAAAGCGTGGTTCTCCTCTTCCTCCCGCCCCGGTGTCCGGGAGCCTAGCTGCGGGGCGCACGGGACCGGTCCGCCCAGCTCCCCCGGGACTGCCTTGCCCTCCGCGTTCCCGCCGCGCCGGCTCCGTTCTCCGGTTTCCATGGAGCCGGGAGGCGGTTGCCACGGAGACCAACGTGCGACGGCCAGCCAATCAGCGTGGAGCTGCGGCTCCAGCTCACCTCCTGGATGGAGGCAAGGGGGACGCAGGAGGCCGGGCACCAGGACGGCGCCGCCACCTCCCCCAGGGCGCCGAGGCCCCTGCGCCCCGCGTGCGGACGACCTTCCCCAACCCCGCCTCTTCCAGGCCCGGCTTAGGGGTGATGTTCCCTGGGGTCCGGCCAGCTTCCGACTGGCCCCCGAGCCCCCTCGCGTTCAGGGGGGAATGCTGCGGGAAAGGCGGGGCCGCGCAGCGCGGAAGGAGGGCGCAGCCCCGGTCGGGGGAAGGAGGGAGGCCGCCCCCCCCCCCCCCCCCCCCGCGCCACGGCGCTCCGCAGTGCTTGGGGCGCACGCGCACGCTCACTCGGGGCGCCGGGCGGGCGGGGCGGTGCTGACGTCATCCGATGACCCACCCACCCCCTACCCCCTGGCCGAGGGGCGGTGGCCGCGCAGGCTCCGCCGGACGGACGCACGGACAGACCGGGCACCGAGGGAAGGGCGCACGGTCAGGCCATGCCCGGGGAGGCTGCCCGTGCCGAGCCGCTGCTGCCGGAGGCGGGCAGGCCCGGGCCCCGCACAGGTGAGGCCTCGGGCTGTGCCCCCTGCGCGCGTCTCGGCCGCCCTGTCCCTGCCTGTCCCCTCTCCGGTCCCTCTCCCTGCCTGTCCCCTCTGTCCTTCTCCCTTCTCCAATCACCACCCCCCCAAGTCCCCTCTCCGGTCCTTTTGGCGCCCTGCCCTTTCGAGCACCTGAATCCTGAGCGCCCCCCAACCCCCCAGCCCCGCACGTCCCAGCTCAGGACTGCGGGGAAGGGCGGGCGGGCGGAAACGGGATGTCCTCCAGGAGCCAGAAGCGACGCGAGGGCCTGTGAGCATGCCAGGGCTCCGTGACTCCCGGCCCGCGTCCCGCCCTCTGGGCCGCCGCCGCCCCATTGTCTGTGAGGAGCTGCGGGCCCTGGCCCCATGACTCTGGACCAGAGGTGGGGGGTTCTCAACTGCACCCCCAACACCGGGGGCACTCGCCCCCTAGATGCCTGAAGCCGCCTGAGGGCCGGTGACTGGTCTGGCCTGGGCAGGTGGAGCCGGATGGAGCTGGAGCCTGGGGAAGCCGTGGGGGGGGGGGGGGGGGGGACAGGCTGTGAGGGTGGGAGGTCGGATGCCCTGGGGGAGCAGGATCTGGGGGGCAGTGCCCCGGAGTGCAGGCCTACATCCTTGGAGAGGCTAGGTCAGCAAGTGTGGATGGAGGCTGAGGGGGTCAGCCTGGGTCTGGAAGGATCAGCCAGGGTGGCCCAGCAGGAGGTCAGCCATGAGTGACCCTGGAGGGCCAAGGGCACCTTGCTGTGGATAAGTCACCTGGAAATGTCAACAGTGCTGGGTCCAGGGGCCTGGCCTCCCTCTGGGGTCCAGTAAAGCAGGTGGAGGCTAGGACTTCTCAGACTCAGGGTCTCAGGCTGCTTGATGACCTTGAATGCTTACAAAAACCTTTGACCTTTGGCTTCCCTTCCTCACTCCCCCTCCTTGGCCCAGCTCTGCCCTCTCCCTGCCCCAGGGCGGGTGGGCAAGGGTACCCCAGGCTCAGTGCCAGGAGCCGGTCTCCACCCGCCCCACCCACCACACCCACCTCCAGGTGTTGGGTGTCTGTCACACGGCAGTGGACCCAAAGGACCCCCTTCTTGGGATCCCCTGGCCAACCTCAGAATCCCAGTAGTGTGGCCCGAGGGCCCCGAGGGACTGCCCCTCATTGCTGCAGGCCGATGGACAGGCTGGGGAGGGCACTGCCCCTTTGTAAAAGCTTCATCTCTAATCCTGGCAGATACTCGACTTTGCAGACAGACAGCTGAGGCACGGAGGTACTTGTGGGGTGATCATGGGTGATAGAGCAGGAACCGCCCCCCCCACCGAGAACGTGGTCGGGGCCCAAGCAGCCCCCGTAACACTGCCCTGGGACCGGCTGGCATATTCCTGGCGGAGGGAACCCTTCTCACCCCCATGCTCCAGCTCGGCCTCCAAGGGACGCGCAGCCTGAGGACGCACCCACAGTGGCCCCGCTTCCCTCCTCCGTGCACCAGCTCTCGGAGCAAGAGTGAGGGCAGAGCCGGATGGCACCTCCAGAGGCTGGCCTCGGGTGTGGGCAGCAAGGAGAGAGACGAGGCAGAGAGGCGAGACCCCCATGCACAGGAGGTGGGAGACCTAGAGCATCCCAGGGCGAGCGGGGTGCAGGTCCCCTGCCCCTGGGGGCCTCTGACACAAGAGGTCAGGAGAGGTCGTCCACCAGGCCCAGCACAGATTGAGGGCAGGGGGCCAGCCAGTCAGCATCCGCGGAGACAGGTGCTCGTCCGGCCTTGCCGAGCCTCAGACGGGAGCCACGCTGCCCACCCCCTGACCCCGTGGCCCCAGGCTGTGCCCCTGGGGTCGGAACTCTCTGAAATTCTCCCCCAGACGCAGCAGCTCCGGCCCCCAGAGGGTGTCTGCCCTCCTCATGCCCCCCTCTTTCCACAGAGTCGTCCTGTGATGTGGCCGCAGCCACCAGCCCGAGAGGGGACCGGCCGCAGCACTGTGCCCTGACCCCCGGACCCAGCGCCCTGGCCCTGGAGTTTCTGCCCAGCAAGCCGGGCGCCCGGCCCCCGCCGGAGGGAGCCAGCTGGGATGCAGGGCCGGGCGGCAGCCCCTCGGCGTGGGCGGTGCCCGCAGAAGGCAGCCCCAGCCCGGGGTCCCCCGAGGCCCAGCCCGCCGGGGGTCCTCCCCCAGCCACCCTGGAGCCCCGGATCGTGATGGGTGAGGAGACCCGCCGGGCGCCCCCGCCATCCAGGGCAGCCCTGCCAGAGCTCAGGGACCGGGAGGGTGGGCGCCCCAGCCTGGACCCACCCCCCGAGTTGTGTTCTCAGGGTGACCCTCCTGTGCCTTGCCCTGCCCCAGACCCTGACCCCTACTTCACGCCGCCCTCCACCCCCACCGAGAGCGCCTCTGCCCTGCTCCTTGGCCCCGGGCCCCGCAGGGAGGCCCGGGACGCCCCGGCTGAGCCAGGGGACTCGCCGCCCGCCTCACCCTCGGGCTCCTACATCACGGCAGATGGGGACAGCTGGGCCTCGTCTCCGTCCTGCTCCCTGAGCCTGCTGGCCCCGGCCGAAGGGCTGGACGTGCCCTCAGGCTGGGGCCTCTCCCCAGCGGGCTCGGTGGCTGACGAGGAGTTGTCTCCCACGGGGCCCGCCGGCCCCCCGACCCCAGAGTCCAGCGTCTCGGCCGACAGTAGCTCCTCCTGGGGCCAGGAGGGCCACTTCTTCGAGCTGGACTTCCTGGCCAACGACCCCATGATCCCCGCCGCCCTCCTGCCCTTCCGAGGCAGCCTCATCGTCCAGGTGGAGGCCGTGGAGGTGACGCCGAGGGCCCCCGAGGACGAGGACGAGCAGGAGGAGGGGGTCCCTGCCCCCGGAGGGGACCCCGCCGGGGAGGGCGAGGACGACAGCACGTTCGCGTCCTCCCTGCAGTCCCTGTCTGACCTCTCCATCACCGAGGGCATGGACGAGGCCTTCGCCTTCCGGGACGACGCCTCGGCAGCCTCTTCCGACCCCGACTCGGCCTCCTACGCGGGGGCAGACGATGACAGGCTGTACAGTGAGGAGCCCCACGCGCGGCCCGCTGCCCTGCGCCAGGACAGCCCTGGCGAGCCCGCTCCCGCCGCCCCCGAGCAGGGGGCCTGCCGAGCCACCGAGCGCCAGGAGCCGGGCGCCCGGGTCCCCGGGGCGGGCCAGGCCTCCGCTGCTGCCGCCGCCGCCACATCCCCTCACACCCCGCGGGAAGCCCCAGGCCTCTCCGGGGGGAGCCCCCAGGCCTGGAGGGAGGAGGCAGACTCCCTCTCGGGTCCAGCACCTGCTGCCCCGGGCAGAGCTCAGCCCTTATGGGAGGATGACAGCACGGCCTTAGGCCTGGGCCCTTGGACCGCCCCGGAAGAGGGAGCCCTCACGCCAAGCCCAGATTCTCTGCAGAAGCTGGAGAAAGAAGCAGGCCAGGACCCTGACTCTGTGGCCACACCCCTGCCCCTGCAGGACGCGGGCCTCCCCTTAGGCCAGGCGCCCGCTTCTCTGGTCAGCCCTGTGCCCCAGCCGGGAGAAACAGACAGGACCTTACTCCAGGACCCTGACTCTGTGGCCACACCTCTGTCCCTGCAGGACGTGGGCCTCCCCTCAGACCGGGGGACCCCCACTGGGGCCAGGCTTGAGATCCTGCAGAAAGGTGCAGGCTGCATGCCAGGAATCGAACCTGTGGTCACTGCAGCCCAGCACGAAGGACAAGTGACCTTGGAACTGAGGCCAGCACCTGAGGAGAGGGACACAAGCTGCACTGGAGGCCCGGAGCCTCCAGCCTGGGACCAGGCCCAGCTGGATGGCCTGGAGCCAGCTGCAGATGCTGGGACACCCTGGGCCTCATGGGGAACTGCAGGCGCCTCCAAGCCTGACATGGAGGCCCTAGATTCCCCCAAGCCTGCCACAGAGGCTGTGGAACGCCCTGGACCTGACACAGAGGCCACAATTTGCCCCAAGCCTGTCACGGAAGCCCCAGAACACCCAGAATCTGCCACGGAGGCTGTAGAATGCCTGGAGTCTGCCACAGAGGTCCTGGAATACCCTGAGCCTGCCACAGAGGCCCCGGAACATTCTGAGCCTGCCACGGGGGCCCCAGAATGCCCAGAGCCTGCCACAGAAGCCCCGGAACATTCTGAGCCTGCCACAGAGGCCCTGAAATGCCCAGAGCTTGCCACAGAGGCCCCGGAACATTGTGAGCCTGCCACAGAGGCCTCAGAATGCCCAGAGCCTGCCACAGAGGCCCCGGAACATTCTGAGCCTGCCACAGAGGCCCCGGAACACCCAGAGCTTGCCACAGAGGCCCCAGAACATTCTGAGCCTACCACGGAGGCCCCAGAACATTCTGAGCCTGCCACAGAAGCCCCAGAACATTCTGAGCCTGCCACGGAGGCCCCGGAACACCCAGAGCCTACCACGGAGGCCCCAGAACATTCTGAGCCTGCTACAGAGGCCCTGGAACACCCAGAGCTTGCCACAGAGGCCCTGGAACATTCTGAGCCTGCCACGAAGGCCCCGGAACACCCAGAGCCTGCCATGGAGGCCCCAGAACATTCTGAGCCTGCTACAGAGGCCCTGGAACGCCCAGAGCTTGCCACAGAGGCCCCGGAACATTCTGAGCCTGCCACAGAAGCCCCAGAATGCCCAGAGCCTGCCACGGAGGCTCCGGAACATTCTGAGCCTGCCACAGAGGCCCCAGAATGCCCAGAGCCTGCCATGGAGGCCCCGGAACATTCTGAGCCTGCCACGGAGGCCCCGGAATGCCCAGAGCCTGCCACGGAGGCCCCAGAACGCCCAGAGCCTGCCACGGAGGCCCCGGAACGCCCAGAGCCTGCCACAGAGGCCCCGGAACATTCTGAGCCTGCCACAGAAGCCCCAGAATGCCCAGAGCCTGCCACGGAGGCCCCAGAATGCCCAGAGCCTGCCATGGAGGCCCCGGAACATTCTGAGCCTGCCACAGAGGCCCCAGAATGCCCAGAGCCTGCCACAGAGGCCCCAGAACACCCAGAACCTGCCACGGAGGCCCCAGAACATTGTGAGCCTGCCATGGAGGCCCCAGAATGCCCAGAGCCTGCCACAGAGACCCCCAAACATTGTGAGCCTGCCAGGGAGGCCCTGGAATGCCCAGAGTCTACCACGGAGGCCCCGGGACATTCTGAACCTGCCACAGAGGCCCCGGAATGCCCAGAGCCTGCCACGGGGGCCCCGGAATGCCCAGAGCCTGCCACAGGGGTCCCAGAATGCCCAGAGCCTACCACAAAGGCCCTGGAACGCCCAGAGCCTGCCACAGAGGCCCCGGAGTTTTCTAAGCCTGCCACAGAGGCCCTGGAATGCCCAGAGCCTGCCACAGAGGCCCCAGAACACCCAGAGCCTGCCACAGAGACCCCAGAACATTCTGAGCCTGTCACGGAGGCCCCGGAATGCCCAGAGCCTGCCACGGAGGCCCCAGAATATTCTGAGCCTGCCACGGAGGCCCCAGAATGCCCAGAGCCTGCCACGGAGGCCCCAGAACGCCCAGAGCCTGACACAGAGGCCCCGGAGTATTCTAAGCCTGCCACAGAGGCCCCGGAATGCCCAGAGCCTGCCACAGAGGCCCCAGAACACCCAGAGCCTGCCACAGAGACCCCAGAATATTCTGAGCCTGCCACGGAGGCCCCAGAATGCCCAGAGCCTGCCACGGAGGCCCCAGAACACCCAGAGCCTGCCACGGAGGCCCCAGAATGCCCAGAGCCTGCCACGGGGGCCCCAGAACATTCTGAGCCTGCCACAGAGGCCCCAGAATGCCCAGAGCCTGCCACGGGGGCCCCAGAACATTCTGAACCTGCCACAGAGGCCCTGGAATGCCCAGAGCCTGCCACGGAAGCCCCGGAATGCCCAGAGCCTGCCACGGGGGCCCCGGAACACCCAGAGCCTGCCACAGGGGCCGCAGAACACCCAGAGCCTGCCACGGGGGCCCCAGAATGCCCAGAGCCTGCCACGGGGGCCACGGAATGCCCAGAGCCTGCCATGGGGGCCCCGGAACGCCCAGAGCCTGCCACGGGGACCGCAGAATGCCCAGAGCCTGCCACTGGGGCCCCGGAATGCCCAGAGCCTGCCACGGGGACCGCAGAACACACAGAGCCTGCCACAGAGGCCCCAGAATGCCGAGAGCCTGCCACGGGGGCCTCAGAACATTCTGGGCCCACCACAGAGGCCCCGGAATGCCCAGAGCCTGCCACGGGGGCCCCGAAATGCCCCAAGCCTGCCACGAAAGCTCCAGAATGCCCAGAGCCTGCCACAGGTCCCCCTAGGCTTGCCATGGAGGCCACAGACCCACCCAAGCCTGCCTCCATTGGAGAGGAAGTAGCTGAGGGCCTGTTGGCACCTGAGCAGGGAACCGGTCCCAGTGCCTGTGTGCGTGCTGGTGATGGAGCTGAGCCCCACTTGCCCCTGAAGGAGGCCCCAGGGGGTGAGAATCAAGGGGCTGGAGGCCTTGAGTCAGCACCCCAGGGTGCTAGGAAGGCTCCTGGGGATAGTGGCCCAGAGGTACATCCTGCTGCCCGCCCCGAGGTTGGCCCTACATGGCCCCAGAGCCCAGCGGAGGAGGGAAGAGCCAACCCTGAGCCCAGGTCTCCTGTTGCTGTGGCCTCAGAAGCTGGGCTGAGCCCCTGCTCCGAGTTTCCACCGAGGTTCGTGCCCAGGCCTGGCAGGGGCTGCCCCAAAGAGCCTGCCCCCACCTCTCCAGCACCCTCTCGGCAGCCGGAGCCCGTGCTGGGCCCAGGCAGTGGAGAGTGGGCACAGGTAGCACCCGGAAGCCCCAGCTCGTCCCCAGCACAAGCCCCCAAAAGCCCTGCCAGGGGCCTGCCCAGTGTGCCCCAAGACAGGCTTCTCGTCCCAGAGCCCCCTGCTCCTGGGGTCCCCACAGAGGCAGCCCCATGCCCCATGGCACCCCTCGCCCCCTGCCCTTGCCAGGGCCCCAGGGAAGACTCGGAGGAGGGCAAGGAGTCCCCGGGCTCTCCGGGCCTCCAGCCGCCACGGGCAGGAGCCCAGCGGGCGGTGGCTGCCTTCTCAGGAACCACGAAACCTCCTGGGGCCGGGCATCGGGTCGGCCTCCCACCCCACTCCCCGATCCTCAGCCCCAAGATGGCCCCCACGGGGGACACCCATGCCAAAGACCAGGCCTGGCGGATCTCGACCCCCTGCCAAGTGCCTCCTGGCCCTCGAGGGCTCCCAGCCGCCGAGCAGCAAGATGACCAGGACAGCCTGGAGGAAGGTGAGAGGGGCCGGGGCTGGAACGCTGTCCTGAGCCAGGGACCAGAGGTGGCAGGTGGGCGGGAAGCCATCCTCAACGCGCACACACCCCTACCCCATGCCCAGACTCGCCGCCGAGGGCTCCGGGATCCGGCCAGCACTCGGACAGCCACGGCGAGTCGTCTGCAGAGCTGGAGGAGCAGGACCTCTCAGGAGCGCAGACGGCACAGTGCCCGGCCCAGGTGCCTGGCCCGGGAGCAGGGAGGCTGCACCCCTGGGAGGGCTCCACCCCACCCTCCCCTCGGGTGCTCAAACCCTGTCCTCCCCAGTCCCCGGCAGGTGGCAGCAGCGAGGAGACCGTGGCCAAAGCCAAGCAGAGTCGTAGTGAGAAGAAAGCCCGAAAGGTGGGTGGGGGTCCCGCCGGGGCCACTCTGTGGGGGCGGGGCCTGCTGCATAAGGGGACCCTTCACACCCAGTGGCCGTCGGGTCGTGAAACTGCTGGGGCCGGAGCATCCATCGAGACCGTGCCCCAAGCTGGGGTCCGGCACCCCACTCAATGCCCTGGGGCACTCCCACAGGCTCTGCCCAGAGACCACAGAGGGTGCCCCAGCGTTGGCGGCAGAACCCTCGTTCCCCCTGTCAGTGTGCTCTCTCCCCCTGGGCCCACCCGCTCCTCCCCACCCCAGCCTGGGAACCCCCCCCACCGGGGTCGATGCCCAGGTCTGAGCACCGCCCCCCGTGACCCCAGGCTATGTCCAAGCTGGGCCTGCGGCAAATCCAGGGGGTCACCCGGATCACTATCCAGAAGTCCAAGAACATCCTGTTTGTCATCGCCAAGCCCGACGTCTTCAAGAGCCCAGCCTCGGACACCTACGTGGTCTTCGGCGAGGCCAAGGTCTGGCAGGCCGTGGGAGGGGGTGGGGGCCCGGGGTGCGGGACGGACTGACCACCGTGCCCCTGCAGATCGAGGACCTGTCCCAGCAAGTGCACAGAGCTGCTGCTGAGAAGTTCAAAGTGCCCGCGGAGCCTTCCGCCCTGGTCCCCGAGTCCGCGCCCGGGCCGCTGGTGAGGCCCGAATGTGAGGAGGAGGAGGAGGAGGAGGAGGAGGAGGAGGTGAGGCACAGGGACGGGGGGGGCCCTCAACGGCTTTTCCTGGGGGTGGGGCAGCCCCAGAACCTGCCTGCTTGCCCCCCCTCCCCCGCGCAGGTGGATGAGGCAGGGCTGGAGCTCCGTGACATTGAGCTGGTGATGGCGCAGGCCAACGTGTCGCGGGCCAGGGCGGTGCGGGCCCTGAGGGACAACCAGAGCGACATCGTCAACGCCATCATGGTGAGTGGCCGGCCCCTTGTGGGCCCCCTGCTGCTGGCCCTGCCGCGCCCCTCCCCAGCCCGCCCTCTCTCTCTCTGCGTTTCCTGCAGGAGCTCACCATGTAGCCGCTGACCGCCATCTGACCGCACAGCCCCGTCCCTGCCCCCGGCTCTGCTGCTCAATAAATGGGTGTCTCCTCATGGCCTCTGCTCTGGCTCCTACCTACCCGGGCGCGCGCTCCGGCCGAATGGGGTTTGTGAATGGGTGGAGACGCTTCCTGGGTCCGTGCAGAGCCCCAGGAGGGGGGGGGTCCTCCCTTCCATGTCCCAGAGGGCGGGGATCTGCTCCCCATGTTCTCAAAGGCTGATGGTCCTACCTGCTCATGCCCCAGAGCTGGTGGCGTTCCCATGGCCCTAGAAGGGGGGTGATGTCTCTGTGTCCCAGAGGGTGGGGGTCTGTCCCCACTTGTCGCCAGAGGGTGGGATCCGTCCCGTGACTCTAGCAGGTGGGGGTCCATCTCCCCCCCACCCCGTGTCCACAGTACCCAGCCTGCCCAGACAGTAGGCAGTCACCTGGCTGTGGCCCAAGGCGTGGGCCTGGGGACTGGTTTTGGGAAGGAACTCCCCAGACTCGGGGGCTCTGGAGGTTTAGCCGTTGAAAAGGTGTTTGCTGGGGGGTGGGGGCAGCGACTGGCCCCCAAAGTTCCTGGCCCCTCCTGGCGCCCAGCTCTGGAAGGGCTGCCCACCCCTCCATGTTCCCTCTTCTCCACAGCCCAGGGACCCGCGGAGGGGGGCTGCATGTGAGAGGGGCCCCTGGAGAGGAGGGAGCGGCTCCTGCCGTCCACACAGGACACTTAGACCCGGTTCCACAGTGCGGCCACCCCACCCCCGACCGCTCACTGGGGCCACTCATACCCAGGGTGGGCTGGCCCTGCCTGCATGACTTTAGCTGTTCCAGATGCTTCCAGAGCAGGTTGATTTGCGCTCCTGTCTGGAGACCTACCCCATATCCCCTTAGCTCTGCGGCCCTGGGCCGACCACCAGCTCCTGGACAGCGCAGGCCGGAACCAAGTCTGAGAGCCCTCCTCCCATCCTGACCTGCCACTGGCCAGGAAGCAGACCCCCGCCTGGCCCCCACACGGCCTCACTGTGGGCCCAGGTCTCTGTCCTCCCTCTCCAGGACCCCAGCACCCACCCTGCTCAGCCTGGGGCTTCCCACACGTGCTGTCGGGGGTCTCCCAAGGCAGAGACCTTCTAGGTGAGGAGGGCGTCTCCAGGGCCACCCCCACTGCCTCCCCATGTGCCAAGGGCAGGGGAGGGGCCCAGCCCAGGGAAGGCCTAGAACACAGTGCCCCCCCCTAAGCCCCCTGGAGACCGGGACCCTGGGCTTCAAGATGACAGGCTCTCGGGGTGGGGGGGGTGGTGGTGAGGGTTAGGGTTTGCAGTGGAGACCACCTGTGGTGGCAGTGAGACCGAGGACTGGGGGACACGGATGAGGGGAAGGAGGGCAGGCGCCACGCTCGGGAACCCAGAGCCCGCTCCCAACAGCGAGGACCTGCGCTTGCACCAGCACCCAGGCCCCCTGCTGCCCCAAGCCCACGTCCATGAAGCAAAAGCTCCCATCCCGTCCTCCCGCTTTGCTGCGACGAGCCCTGACAGGCAGCCGGCCCACAGGCCACAGCACCCGGCCCGTCGTGCAGGCCCGGCTCCCCCACCGCGAGACCAGACGCACGCTGGGACCAGAAACGAATTATTCACATCGCAGTAAACTTCTTTGAAGGTCTCTGAGAGTTTCGACAAGAACGTCGTGTGCAAAACTGAAAGGACCCCCAGGACCCCTCCTGGGCACCGGCGCCCCGGGGCCAGTCCTTCACAGTAGAGGGCGCACCGGCGGGCCCCTCCCAGCGCCGTCAGGCCGAGTCCCGGTCCATGCTGCAGCCCAGAGCCTCGATGTCGTTGCTGATGTCCGAAATCATGCGGTCCCACTCGTCCCCTTCCGAGGGCACAGACTGGTCGTCGGAGCTGCCCGTGGCCCTGTTCCCGGTGCAGGCGGAGGTGGAGGTGGAGCTCAGGGCCCGCCGGTACCTGCCAAAACTGTCAGTGATGATACCTCGGCCGTCCTTCACCCCGATGGTCTCAAGGAAGTTCTCGAAGTGCTGGCTGTCCTTCTCCGGGATGAAGGGCCGCAGACCTGTGGACACAGGGTGTGCCTGACGCCAGGCCTCCTGCGGGGAGAACAAGCCTGCCCACCCCGCCCGCCCCGCGTCCAGCCCCGTCCAACGGGCACCGCAGGCCCGCGCAGGTCCCGGGTCTGCAGCGGGTGGCTGGCCCCATCTCCCTCCCTCGGGCCTGGTGGAAGCGCACCCACAGGCCTCCAGGTGCAGAACGGGGGCGAGGGGGGCAGGCCGACCTCTGAGGAGCACCACCCACTTCTGTAAGAATAAGCCAGAAAGGAACACGGAGCTGGGGCCCCAGCCCTGGCCGCATGGCTGACCCCAGCGGGGAGGCCACAGGGTCAACAAGAGCTCAGACTGCACGCAGCAGGCCAGGCCCCCGGCCCTACATCCCCCGTGAGTGGAGAGCCCCTCAGTGGCTGCTGACAAGGGCATAACCCAGGCCCCCCTGGATGGTGGGGGCAGAGCCCAGGAGCCTCCACTGGCCCCCATCAACCAGCCGGGTTCTCTAGGGTCAGCACGGCGGGAGACACGGCCACACTGTCATCCCTGAGGGCATGAGCAGGTGGGCAGGGCCCCGACCACCCTGCCCACCCAGCTCTGAGGGCCGGCATCTCTGCAAAGGCTGGTCCTTCTCCCCAGAAACGGGATTCGCCTCCCATGCGCAAACTCCTCGTCACCCACCAAAACCCACTCGAGCGCCAAGCCCCTGAGGAGCCCCACCCTGGCCCCCAATCCAAGGCAAGCAGCTCCTGGCTTCCCCTCAGTCTGGCTCCCACGGGCAGGTCCCACCAGTCGCTGGCAAGGGCCCTCGGTGGCGGGGCCCCCACGCTGCGGCCACACGCCCATGGGGCTCACCGAGCAGCAGGAACTTGCGGCTGTCCCCATACAGCTGCCGCAGGTTGATGCAGAACTCGTGCACGGACGCCCCGTCGCGGTAGTCGTGCAGCAGTGCAGCAAACTGCTGGATCTCCTGGGAGGACAGCTTGGTGCGCAGCTACCCACAGCGGGGCAGGGGTGCGGCGGTGAGCGGCGCCACCGCCAACCCTCACCTCACCCGCAGCGCCCCCAGGGAGTGCGCCCGCAAGAAGCCCAGGGGCACGCGCGCGCGGACGGAACCACATGACGTTCAGCAGCGAGGTTTGGGGGGGGTCCGCTGAGCAGCCCGTCCCCGAACCCCGCCGCGCCCCCCCCACCGCCCCCCAGGGAGCCGCTCCAGCTCGGGGCCGGCCTGGGGCGCACCGTCAGCATGTAGTCCTGCAGCAGCTCGGTGGCCGTGGCGCTCAGCTCGCTCTCACTGACCATCTTGGCGTGGGGCGCCGTCTGCATACAGAAGGACAAGGGCGAGACGCCGCCTGCGTGCGCACACTCGGGGAAGGAACTGCAAGGACAGGAGCCGTGGGCACGCGGCTCCCGGGCTCCACGTCGCACCCGCGCCCCGCGCCCCCCTGCGAACGCGCACTTCCGGCCAGGGGCGCCCAGTGTGGGCGTGGGGGCGGCCAGTGGGCGGGGTACTCACAAAGTGCCGGCTTCCGTCTCATACGGCTCCTTCACGTCCACCTTGGTGGAAGAGTCGTCTGTACAGGGTGCGGACACAGAGGCTTCCGGTTACGTGGGCAGGGGCACAGAGTCCCGGGGCCCAGCACCCCGCGAGACGTGGGCCCTGGCAGGGGCACCTGCACACCTTCTTGGACAGAGCCACCGGGCCCCCCCGGGGGGGGCGAGCAACCACACCGGCTCCTCCTGGGGGGGGTCTCGACCGGCACCACCTGTCGCAGGTGTGGGCCTGAGCGCAATGCTCCGGGCTCCGGAGGATGCACCAAATGGGCTGAAGAGCGCTCCCCGAGGGCCAAGGATAGCACAAGCGGGACCTGTGGCTGCCGCATGGCATCCTGGGGCCCGGGTTACTTTGTCTCCTGTGCCCACTTTAGACGAGGAGTGGGATCCCAGAGGTCGGACAACTTGCCCAACCGCAAGGGGCTGGCCGAGGGCAGGAGCCATGGTCAGAGGCAGGGCTGACCCCCAGCCTGGACCCGGTGGGCTCCACGCAGGCAGGGAGGCGGGACCCCCGGCATGCCTGAGCCCCTGGCACCAGCAAAAAGCCCGGGACACCGCAGCTACTCAGGAAACACTGGATGGGTGACCTAAGGTCCACGTGACACAGACCGTGAGGGACACGGACACCATTCTGCACAATGCTGAGCCCTGAGAGGGGCGGCTGGGAAGTGCAGAGTCGGGGGGCGGTGCGAGGAGCAGGGGGCGCTCCTGGCGGGTGGAACATCGGGCTATGTGAGCCGCCTGCCGAAAATGCTCCGCAGATACAGCGGAGGGGGTGGCCTCCACGTGCTCCCCCCACCCCAGCCCAAGAGCTGTGAGGTCTGGGGGTTCCTCCCCACACACACCCCCTCCAGCCCCAGGCCCTCTGTTCTGAGGCAGGTGAAGGGACTTCAGCTGAGAAGGCGTTCCCTGCCCCCCGACGTGGTGCAGGAAGCCACCGGGCTCCTGGGGCAAGGGACATGTCTGCCTGCAGGTAGATGTTGGCAGTGGAGTCTGGGAACGAGGCACTGGTGCAGAGCCACAGGGATGGGGACAGCAGCACCACTGCCCGCCCACGCTCACGTACCGCTGTGAAGGGACAGGTGGTGGGTGGGTGTTGAGGCCCCGTCGAATATGGCTCTGTCCAGAAAGTCGATCGTGGACTCTGTGTACACAATCTGGAAGACCTGCCCCAGCAGAGAACACAGCTCCTCCGCAGCGACCTGCCGTGGGGACAAAGCTGGACCCTCCTGGGCAGCGTGCCGGCCACCTGGCTCCTCACATGCCCAACTGCCCGATGGGGCCACATGGGGACCAGCTCACGTCCAGGCAGCTCTCTGGACCCGAGGGGGCCAGGTGTGCCAATCAGCTGCCAGCCCTCCAACCTGGCCCACCAACACCCTGCCCATGCTGCTG